TTTTCCAGAGCTTCCAGCTCAGAGGTTTGTCTGAAAGTGTTTCATAGACTGATCGAAGGAGAAAGACTCTGACCAGTTGCATTCAGATTCATTGAGGGAACCCTCTTTGTCGGCCATTTGCATAAAAGCACTTTGAGACTCTCTTCCACGTCGCTCACACTCCTCATGTGTCTGAACTGATCGTTTGCTGCACCGGTCTGACGTTGGCGGACATGGCAGCTGCCGCAACAGCAAACATATACAGCAATTATGTCCGGCCTTTTTTGACATTTGCAAGACAACAAAATGCATATATGATAAAATGCATGGATGCTGCTTTATCCTGACTGCTCCAGCTCCCATGGTGACTTGAGGGGCGTCTCTACTGCCGGCAGCCGCACTCAGTGATGAGTAGCTGTGAGGGTCACTGGCAGACTGCCATGTATTAGTATCTAAGTGCAGCAGATTTTTCCAGATGTGATCACAGTAAATGTGACTGCATGTGCTGTGAATCTAGCCCTAAAGCACAAGCAGAGTGTTAACAACAATATATCTGCAGGATTTCACCAATATCTTTAACAAACAGAATAACGCGTTATCTCTGCATGCCTATGTTGCTTTTTAAAATGCTGCCAATTAGTGTCCAAAGAGGAAATTGATTTAAAATCAAAAATGCCTTATTTAGAGCCTGAATTTTGTCCTGCTCTTTGTCTTTTTGAGGTCAAGCTTTTTGGTTGAGTGTGTTTATGTGCTGACATAAGTCTGCAGCAAGAGTGTTTGACACAGGCTGAGAGAGCACCTAAAAGCTTAAACAAATGGCTCAAGTAACAAAATGGGCACTACAGCGAATGAACAAATGGAGCAGAAGAAACACAACTTTTTACTGCAAATCAGCAATACACCAGCAGCTTTCCCTTTTTAAGGTGCATAGTCACGTTATTGGACATTTTAATTTATATGGCAGTGACTCAGTTTGGTTGCGTACAACGCTTTTATGACAAATCACAAAGGTCTGCTGGTGTAGAATCTCTTATTTTTTTGTTTTTTAACCTTTTTTTGCTCAATTCGTTAGCAAATGTAACATTTCTGTTTATATGGGATTACGTCATTGTGAACATGTATAATTGATAAACAAGCTGAAGCAATGGAGGCGAGCGAGTGTGGAACTCCCAGCATAGTTGCAAAAACAAAATCAGTCCAATATTAAGTTTTCAAATAAGAAGTTTGATTCCAAGAGGGCTAAAACTTGAGTTGAGCTTGGAGAACAGTAGAATCATTAGAGTTCACTAAAGCTCAGGAAGCATCTGATGTCGCTGTAAATTTGATAGATGTGAGTACATATACTTGCTAATAATTCAATTGGTGTTAGCAATGCCTTATTCTAATCAAGACTTATTTAGAAGCTACATCAATGGCGAACATCTGGATTTCTTTTAGTTTAGCAGGACTGCCAGTAGATGGTGCCAGGTCTGTTTGTGTAAGCTATTTGCACCTGGTGCTGGGA